CCCCAAAACCCCAAAACCCCAAAACCCCAAAACCCCAAAGTGCAGGTTTTTATTGAAATAAGTTTATATATATTTTTAAGATGAATAAAGAAGCTAGTGCAAAAGGCACCGTGAATAATGACAAGAAAGGATCGAAACCCAAAGGTGGCAAAGGAAAGAAGAAGAAGAAGTATGAAAATATAGAATCCAGAGGTCCAGCCAATTTCAGAGAAAAATAAAAAGCAGGAGTTATTGGAGAAAATGAGAGCTGAGCAAGAAGAAGAGCAAGAGCCTGTCAAGACAATTACACAAACAACATATGAAGCATTGCTAGAGAGACAGAGTTACTTTTTCCATATCGACTCTGCCAATGAGACTGAGGAAGATTTCCTTGAAGATGAAAGCAAGAAGGAGGATGCATACATTCATGATTACGCAAGGCCACGGAAATATATTATAAAGCAGAACTCTAAGTTTAAATTTTGGTTTGATATGATGATTATTTCTCTTGCATCTTTCAATGTTTTCACAATCCCATTCATTATTGCATTTGATCCTCCTGAGGCAAGCTCATGGTGGTACTCTACTATTGTCTGGCTGATTAACATCATCTTCGTTATTGATATCATCATTAATTTTAGGACAACTTTTATTAACAACAGAACTGGTGATGAAGTCTGGGAGCCAAAGATGATTGCTAAAAGATACCTCCTTGGCCCTAGGTTCTGGATAGATCTCCTTTCAGCCCTTCCTCTTGACCAGATAATTACAAAGGGGATTCTTCGAGACTCGTTTTCTCTTTTGGGAATGCTCAAGGCGGTGAGAGTCATGAGACTCTCAACTGTTATCCAAAGTTTGAACATTAGGCAGGATTATAAAGCATATCTGAAATTAGTTAAGCTTGTGTTTTACCTGACAATTTATATACACTTTATTGCATGAATTTTCTATTACATTGTTGATGCCAAGAAGCAATGGATCCCAGGACTTGACTTTATTTATGCTGAGACAACAATTTACTCCCAGTCTACTACTAGGAGGTACTTGAGTGTTATGTACCATGCAGTCATGCTTATTGGGCTAAATGAGATCTACGCTCACACAACCACTGAATTATTTGTGTTCAGCTTCTTAATGCTGATTTCATCGATGGTGAACGCTAATATTTTCGGAGTTATTGCTGTCTTAGTCTCTGAGGCTAATAAAGGAATGAATCAGTTTCAAGAAAGAATGGATACATCTAACACTGCTATGGCCAACTTGAAGGTACCTCCTGAACTCCAACGGAAGGTCAAGGAGTTCATGCTGATGACAAGAAGTCATCAACAAAGGCAAGAGGAAATGAAGGAGTTTCTCTCTCATTGCTCACCTAGTCTCATGCAGAAAGTTTATAATCATATTTTCACAGAAGCGGCTAAAAGGAATGATATCATTTTTGATATTATTATATCAAAGCATGACCAGGCTGATCGGATCATCTTCTCTTTTGTCAGGAGACTCGATCTAGAATTAGCAGAACCAGAGCAGATTCTCATCGAGCAAGATACTGAGCTGGACGAAGATCCTAATAAAAACTTTCTTTACCTAATTGCTTCAGGAGAATGAGCTGTTATCATTAAGGATAAGTCTAAATTTGAGGATGCTAAGATTAAAGTCATGCTAGAAGGAGATCATTTCGGAGAAGTTTCATTGTTCTACAAGTGTAAAAGAACAGCTACAATTATGAGTAACAACTACCTTACTCTTGGAAAGATGTCTGAAGCTGACTTTAAGGACTTCCTGAACAGATTTGATCCACAAATAGAGGATAAATTCAGGGAAATGATTTATACTTATGATGACCCAAAGACCAAATTCTTACTTAAATCTATTAGCAAGATTGAGTACTTTCAAGGAGTTTCTGAGAAGACCAAGAGAGACATTGTTTACAGCCTAAATCCCATCAACTACGAAAAGGGAGGAATCCTGTTCAAGCCTGAAGATGTTGCTGACTGCATGTACATCGTGGATTCAGGAGTGGTTGAGGTCTATATCCTGATGGATAAGAAAGAAGAATTCGTCATCGATAGGCTCCACAAAGGCTCTATAATCAACCATAGAGCTTTTCTATTTAATGATGAAATTGACACATACGCCAAATGAGCCACAATGGTGAGTATGTACTATATAAAAATCGAAGATTTGTCCCAAATCAGAGCTAGGGATAGCTTTGTGGACTCTAAAATCAATGAAATTGAAGAAAGCATGGTTTACAGAGACAATGCAGTTGCTATTGATTACATTATCTCTAACCCGAAACTTTACTTAAAAGATAAAAGGCCTATTAAAGAAATTGAGCGAGTCAATGGGCTTACTCATATCTTAAAGAATGCAGTCATGTTCCATATTGGGAAGAACAGAGAAAAGAGGAAGAAACCTAATCTTTCAGATATCCTTTTCGCTGCGGTTGAGAAGAAAAAGAGGGAAATGCAAGCAGCAAGGAAAAAGAAAGCCAATTTTGACTCAATAGATATCAAAGGAAATTACTTAACTGATGATGAATTTGAAATTGTAGGAGAGCTCATTCAAAAGCAAATAAATAGCAAGATGGACACACAATTGATCGAGACATTACAAAAGAAATTCGAGATTCTTCTATCTGATATTGAGAGAATCCAAAATCCTCAGGTTGCTCAGAGACAGCCTCGGAAGTCAGGTCTTCATATTGCTTCAGCATTATCTATCACAAATAGTATGGTATCATCACGGAATAATATACCTGAGGAAGAGAAGAGTAAAGAAGAAGCTTCAGTTTCTGGATTCAAACCTTTATAATCATTTTCAATTGCATTTTAGACCAAAGGGGTTTTGGGGTTTTGGGGTTTTGGGGTTTTGGGGTTTTGGGG